AGAGGAATGAAATTCGTTGGACTTCTTTAGTAATCCCATTCACAATAACGCCCTTTCTCTTCTGCTGCAACAATTTTTAACAGTGTGACCAGGTCTCAAAAAATGTTGCAGCTAAATCCCATCCAAAATAATGCTAGAAAAAATGCTAAATTGATTTTAAAATGCCAAAAAAATGCTAAAATTTTTTAAGTGTTTTTATGAACAATTCATATTAATTTGTAACTGAAATTCATTGTAATTTATAACAAGTAAGAAAGTATATTCTGCCGTGGTTGACCATATGAGTATAAAATTTGATTTATTTTTCGTAATAAAGCATTTATGTTGAATTGAACCTTGGTTCCGATATATTTGAACTAATTTTCTGAGAAAGGCTTTATACATTTGTATAGTATGGGGGCTAGGTAAACTAAAGGAAGGACTTTAACCATTTTTAAAAGGTTTTGTCATTGGATCAAAAAGCATGCGTGCTTATTGTTTTGAAAATTTCAACCTCTACCAGACGGTCAGACTTACATGGCTTAATCGATTCAGAAAATGATTCTTAACCTATTCAGCTAAATGAAATAATGTGGATGATAATGAACACTCATTACCAAGTAATGTATGAAATAACTACTGGCTATTACCAATAATTTCAGATTTTTTGCTGGGATGTAATGTCTCTAACTTTAAAATATTTCTGAATGCAAAAATTACATTAAAACTCTATTAATTAAACTAGTTGCTCATGGTATATGTGTTTTCGGAAGGAAAAGTATAATATTTCTAGTTTTACTTTTTTTATATAAACAATTTTATTTGTAAAAATTATATGTTTCATTCCATGAGCAAACAAAAAGTATTAGTTTGTAAAATAGCGTACTGACCGTATTTGTAAAAATATATGAAATCTCTTGAATTATTTCTATCACCTCGAATTTAAAAAAGCATTGGGTTCCAGAAAAATATTTTAGAATACAACATTTTAAAGTATTCACTTGTATTGGCGTAATTTTAAGTTATTTATCTTCATAAATCTTTTGACATTATTTTGAATTACAGTGTAAATTATTACATTTCTCATATTTCTTGTTGCTTGTGTTTGTTGGGTAGACATTTAATTCTGATTTTTTCCGGTTAAACCTATTTCCAATATAAATCTTTTTTGCAAAAATTTTTCTTTTTTTTTTTTTTTGTTTATATACTAAAATTGCAAAAAAAGCTAAAAATGCTAAAAATATTTTATAAATATGCTAAATAAAATGCCAAATGCTAAATTAAAATTTTACAGCTAAATCAAAATAAAAAATGCTAAATCTAGCTGCAAAAATGCCAAAATGGTCACACTGATTTTTAAACATTTGGACTCTTAAATTGCAAAAATAACTCTATATTGCTTAAAATTGCCAATAATTTGGGTAATATTGAAGTCTATCCTTGCGCTTCGTCTATAATGTATACAAATCTTTACAAATTTGCTCTAACTCTTAATATTAGTCATTTGACATTTTTTAAAAGTAGTTTTTTCATGTCCATATATCTTAAATTCACATTAATCAGTTCAATCATAACGTTCTGATTATATTAATTAATTTTTAAATGTTTTGATTTTATTCAAAACCATATTTTTTCATTCAAATGTGTGAATAAAAAATTGTGTTTAAAAATACAATAATTTAAATTGTTTTTTCTTTGTTTTGTTTTTTTATACGAATGTGTTGTTTTGAAATATTTGAATTTGATTTTATTAAATATTGAATTTTTTTGAATGAACTAAACTGAATAAAAAAATTTATTGTATGATTAAATCAGGAAAAAATTGCTTTTTGCAGTTCTCTGGTACATATGTATGTATGATTTGTAGTGTTTATAAAAAACCGACTTTTGGAAAAACCGGGTTTTAGGTTAACCGAAAATTTACCATTTGTAGAAAACCGATTTGTCGGTTAACCGAGTATAAAAAAACGGCTAAACCGGTTAACCGAAATGTTTGGAAATCTTTAAAATATTGCAATATTTAGTTGAAAAATTTCATTTTGCGAAATATTATGAATTACTTAATAAGATACATATTTGCACTTTTTAGTATAGATACATATGTATGTTCATGAATATATCATAAGAAAACAAACTTATACAGATCTGAAGATATTATTGATTCGTTAGGTATATTGAAGTTGCCATAGGAGGGATAAATTGACCTTTGAATATATAATGCATCTATACCAATAACAAATTTTATGTCCAGGACTATCAAGTATAAATAGTGCTCAGACTCGCGACGATTCATCGGTAACGGAAGTAGACGACGACTGTCTCGACATAGACATTGAGCCCCTGCTTTAATTGTGACCTCCCTCCGCTCGCTACGCCTGTGGTTGTTCAAATTACTGTGAATGACGCTTAGTAATATTGACAAGTGTCATTCTGACTTCCTATCACTCAACCTAAGCACCATTACAGTTTGTGAAAAACCCCAGCAGTATAAATTCTCGGACAGCGACGACAACCCTTATGTTTCGATCTACCAAAATTTTTAAAAATCACAAGGAAAACATACAATTTTGTACTAAAAATTAGGTTTTTTGAAACCGGTTAACCGAGACTTAAAAACCGGATAACTCGGTTAACCGAAAACCAATGTTTTTAAAAAACCGGTTTGTGAAAAACCGAACTTTATTAGTTCATTGGAGCACTGATGACAAGTTTTATCGGTATTACCATGGAACAGCTTTTGCTATACGAAGAACGAATTCATCTTATAATGTGTACTGTGGTTTACTCGCCATTCGACTGCAAATTCTAGATGAAATACGTGGATATAAATTTTATAAACTCGAAGTTTCCTGAAGTTTCAAGTGTGCATTTTTCGGGTGATGCGTTTTATAAAATATCAAACAGGGACCGTAACTATTATGACTTGTATCATAAAAGTCACAAAATAAGTGTTATTTTTTGATTTTTATTTTTTTGAGCAGAAATAAAAGTTATTTTTTGACTTTTATTTTTTCGATCATAAATAAAAGCTATTTTTTGATTTTTATTATTTTTTTATTTTTTCGAGCTGAAGTAAAAGTTGTTTTTTTACTTTTATTTTTTGAGCAGAAATAAAAGTTATTTTTCGAGCAGTTATAAAAGTTATTTTTTGATTATTGAAAAATTAACGATTCTAAAGCAAAAACTTTTTTCTGCTCAAAAAATAGCTTTTATTTTTGCTTGAAAAAATTAAAGTCAAAAAATAACATTTATTTTTTGACTTTAAAATAAAAGTAAGAAAATTACTTTTATTTCTGCTCAAAAAAATAAAAATAAAAAAAGCATTGCACTTTCTTTAAATTTATTCCACGGCGATCAAAATGGTATACTTGATGTTGTTTTCCGATATTTTCTTGTGGTTGCTTTTTTTATTTAAAAATTCAAAAATAATTATTATTTTCGGTCCCTGATATCAAATTCTATACAATTTTTTAATAACAAGACTTGTTCACTAGTTGTAAATCAAACAATCACCTGTCATAATGAAGTGTTTTACAAAATACAAATTTAACAATTGCAAGGTGAAGTGAAGCGTAGGGACTTACGAAATTTGGCTCTAATCTTTCGAACAAAATTTGTGATAATCGGTCCATAATTTATTTATTTTACATTATACCACAAGCAATTTAAGGCCTTATGCAAAAACAATTATTAAGTTAACAATGGTTGTTAAAAGCTGTTTTTATATGGAAGTGTGTAGTAAACCATTGTTAATTTTAATAATCGTCGCCTTATGCAAGAATTTATGGGATAATCTAAATACAATATGTAATTAAACCACTATACATGAGAGAAAATACGAATAAAAAATTAAATGATTCAAAAAACAAGAATGTTTCATTCGATCAGGGATGTATTTTTATGTAAACACATAGAAAAAAAAAAATAAACAGTTTTCATTCCATTCTTATTGTCATTTGATATAATCAAAATTTGGAGCATTTATTCTACTCTTAAGTACTGATTGTATGACGTACAAATTGCTTATACGGTTCATATATTATAGGCTCATCAAGTTGGACATCTTGAGTATTTTTGTTGAAAATTAGCAATGTTGACGACTTAATTACTTTGGAACCCGTAATCCGATTATAACAAATGAGGTCTCGTTCGACAGGACACCGATTACTTATTATTGCAATTTCATAAATTTTTTTTTTGGTCCTGGCTCAAGGACCATAAAAAGGAAAATGTCCGTTGTCCTTGAATATCCTCAAAATCCTGAAAAATTGTATTTTGTTTTTCTTAATTTTTTATTATAAAAAATAGGCAATAGAACTATTATTGCGATGTAAAAATTTTCTCTTCGGCTATTAGTAATTAACACATATAATTATTTTATTACACTTTTTTCGTCGGAGTTTTCTCTGGCCCATAGTGCGATGTTTTGTAATGTAAATTTTAAAATGAAATTGGAGGCTGTAAAAAAACAATTGAATTTAATACTGAAGATAAAATTGATTTTTTAATTGAATGTACACATATTAAAATACAAATGTATGTATAATTTTTGTTTATTCTAGGTTGATCTACTTAATGACTATCACCGTTATGTTTGGAATACTCTTTCCCCAATACTAAAGGAACAAGGAGATGAGATGACATTGTCCTGGTTAGAGCGAGAAACACGCCCAATATAAATATATGAGTTTAAAAGTATTTTCTTTATAATTTGTATACATTTATATTTTTAATAAAAAAAGACATATCAACCTGAAATGCAAAAGGTCGTAAAAACACTTTTAAAAATTTTACTGGAGAGACAAAAAACTAAGTAAAATGAAAACTATTGTTGCTATAAGTCGATTTTAGATTTGTTGGTTGTTATGGCTTTTTGCATTTCAGGTGAAGATATGCATTTATTTGAAGTCAATCAAAAAATTTATCTTTTATTTTATCACAAGTCCTATATTAAAATTAGCTTATAGGTATTTAAAAACAAATAAAACAAGCTATAGTGCTATATTCGGCTTTACCAAATATTAAATACTCTCCACCTGTAAGATACTTTGTATAAAATCACATCTAAATATTTATAGATATTTAAAAAATTGCTAAAGTTAAAATTTCGCTTCCGCAATGGGTCATCAATATTCCAGATATTCGCTTCCAAAACAGCTGAGAACTCTTGCGGTCATTTATACCTTATAAAGTTTAATGTCTTGGAATGTCCAATTTTGACACAATTAATGAAATATTTTTTTTTTTGCAAACCCTTCATACCAATGCACAGTGTCAGATTTTGCAATTTTAGGTGGACTAAATAAACTCTACATTTTGAAATTATTAAACACAAAGCTATACTACGTTAATAGCCTATATCATTTTTTTTTTTTATCTTGGACCAGAAAGGCACAAAACGGGTAAAATTTGTGCTTTTTTATATAATGTCAATTTTTTATTCTAACGTGGAAATATGTGTGTTTTATCTCTCAAAACTTTTATATATACAGTGTCAGGCAAAACTAAAGCACAAACTTTTACTTGTTAGAAAAAAGCTTAGTAAAATTTAACAAATTGGTTATTTTGTAATAAAATATTAGTTTAAGAAGAATATAGTCTAAAAATTATAAAAACAATGAAACATAGTCTTGTTTAAAGTTAAAATACATTGCAAAATACATTGGGGGTTCCTTTAAGTAAACTTGGCATAAAGTAAATATTTAGAAATCATTTTTTTTTTTTGACAAAAATTTAACCCTTAATATCCTGATTTTTTTTTGAGCTGAAAAAAAATAATGTTATAAAACTGGCATTTCTAAGCAACTTTTGTTTTACAACTTTGTTCTTAAATATTAATTACCTGAGTTATGTCAAAAATACCTGGCTGGTTCTTTGAGGAACCACCAGGCTCCCGGACATCACAAATTACAACTAGTAGTAAATAGTATTTGTAAGGCAAAAATAAACATGTTTATTTTATTTAAGGGAAATATAAAGGAAAATTAAAAACAACTTTTAATAACTTATAAATGATTGTTAATTTTGATGAAACTCATAAAAACAGTTCTTTTCGGCCGAAAAACATAAATTTATGCCACATTTTTGACATCGAAACTTTGTACGAGATGTATATTTTGGATTTTTGCACCGTGGTTTGCCTTCTTTTATAAATTCTGGAAAATATCCTATATTATCTAAGCGAATATCAAGAGGTGGTAATGCAGCACACATTGAGCGTGGACGCTTTACAATAATTTCAGATTCAACGTTACTTCGTCGACCATTTCCCATTCGTATTTCAGTACCAGATTTCGTCAAACAATGTGCAACTTCTGACACAAATTCATGTAATACCTTCTGTGGTTCCACATTATTAGTCTCTACATGATGCCTCTTGTATAAAATCCATACGTTGATGATGGCAATATCACACATATGATAAAACAAACGGCTTGTCCATTTGCGGGATTTTATACGGATGTGACTACGACCGAGAGACGAGTCCAAAAGGTCAACACCACCCATATATTTATTGTATTCATGGACGATATTTGGACATTGAATACTTTCCTTTTTCTTTTTGTTGTATCGTTCTATGGTTGGTGTATCCTTGGGCGTCTGACCATCAGATGAAATAAATGGCTTTAGTCCGGCCATTGTCGATGCCATGGTGACAACTTTGTTATCATTCCATGCCACTGTTGTGACATCGATTCCATGAAATATTCCAACATATTCTTCGGAATCACCGCGATTAGCAAATTTTTGTGACAATTTGCACAATGGAAGACGTGGACGGCGAACTGTACCAATTGAGTATATCCCATGTGTTCGCTAATAAACCATTAAAGGAACAGATGTATAATAATTATCGAAAAATATGACGTGGTTGACGAATCGAGGAACCGAACGAGCCAATCTTACCACAACATTTGCAGATGCACCCAAATTCGGCTCATTTTCTTCACGGTGGTCATCATCACCAGAATATATTTCAAAACTATAACAAAACCCAGAGTCATCACACGTCGCCCCATGGATGTGGTTTATCAGGCATATATTGTTTTAGATAGTGTTTGATTTTGGTAGCACAAATTTGTTCGTCAACACACAAACGTGCTCTCATTGGAACTTTTTTAATGTTTCTATTCAAGGCTGTTATAACAGGCCGTATTTTGTACAGCCTATCGTAGCCCGAATCACACTGTGGTATAGATCCATAGCTTCTACGGGCAACTCCCGATGACGTCGATGGCTGTTGATCAGCTGCGTCTTGAAAATGTTGACGACGGGGCATTGTCTCGTTGTTATTGAGATGTAAAAATTGTCTAATTTTTTCATGACGATTTCGAGTCATACAATCCATAATAGGTTTAAAACCATAATCACTCCAATAAGATCGTACGCTTGGATATTTGAATGCCGACATATAATAATTAACTCCCATGAATCTTTTAATTTCATCTGGGGTGGTATTCAGGGGCTTTGCGATGTCTTTTTGCACAGCGTATAAGTTGCACTGTTCTACAATATTTAAAATAATATCGTCCGAAATAAAAAACGAAAAAATGTCAAGCGGAGATTTCAACGCCAATATCTCCTGTGATAAAGCATCATTACCCCGAAATGTTATAATATTCGAATACTGTTGCATATGTCTCTTTCGCATTAAGGTCTTTTAAAAACAGTTGAATCTTTTTCAATTGAAATACCTTCAAATATTGTGGCGTATTCTTGCCACCGTGATCGGCCACCAACAATAACTGGGTCTTCCACACATGGGATTTTTACATGAAAGCAGATGAGAGATAAATATGTTATTCTATATAACGCCATCATTAGTTTTCCCATTTTTATTGTATAGGCCTTTAGATGATGTAGCAAAGTTTATGTTTTTATGTATATTTTTCTAAAATTTTTTTTATACGAATCTACCATTTAATACAAAAATCTAAAAATGTTCTTTTTCGATACAAAATATACTATTGTTATGTATGAAAATGTGTTATTTTAAATCATCTTTACAGACAAAGATTTAATTATTAACGACTTTTAAAAAAACGACAATTTTTAAAAGTGAAAAAGTACCACTGATGGCCTCTAAGCGATCCCTATCATATCCCAACGATACTCTGAAATCTTCTCAATAATCAGTAAAAGAGTAGAAACTAGTAAAATAATTTTATTGACAAAATGTAGGAAATAAAACAGCTTTTCGTATAATTCCCTATCCCAAATCCTATATAACTGTAAACAGAACTTTTCCTAAAAAAATCCAAAAATCTTCCAGAAGATGCATTAAATTTAGTCTTTCACGGAAGTAATTAGGATAAACATACATAAATGTAATAAAAATTTTTCGTAAATAAAATTTAAAAAAATGTTGATTTGAAAATTTTGCAAAAAAAAAAAAAAATGAGAGGACTTCCTCTATCTATCGATACCCATAATATACCAAACATTATAGCTTAATTAATGCCAAGTTTTGTTCAGGGAGACCCCCTGTGCATTGTTTTTGAGCATATTATATAAATTAGCCTAAAATTGCATCGACAAAACTAAACTGATTACATTCTACGAAATTTTAAGGAACTATTAAAGCTGGAGGTCCACACCACGCGTTTTACGCTTCTACGCGGCTGTCAAAAAAGCATAATCAATGTTGTTGTGTGCTACAAGTTACAAGCACAAAAGCCTTGACGCTTCTTCGCATTCTACGCGGCTGTCAAAAAAGCATAATGTTGTTGTGTGCTACAAGTTACAAGCACAAAAGCCTTGACGCGTAGAATGCTTAAAGTAGATATATTTTTGTAAGCGTCATAAGCGGCGCACGAATATATCAGCTGATTTTGACAATTTATATTCTATTATTAATATGCATTTATCAATTTTAATAAACTAAAAGGAGTTAAATTGGGAAAATATAAAAAAAAAATTAAAAAACGCGAAGTTCTTTTAAATAAAGCAAAAAATTGACGCTTAAAGCTGGAGGTGCACACTACGCGTCTTCGCGGCAAAGCATCACAGTGTCAGATTTTGCAGTTTTAGGGGGACTAAATAAACTCTACATTTTGAAATTATTAAACATAAAGCTATGCCACGTCAATAGGCTATATCATTTTTTTTATCTTGGAGCACACAGTGGGGCAGAATGGAAATTTTTTGGAAATAAATCTGGCATTTCTAAACGGCTGATCCGATCGGGATAAAATTTGGCGTGAGCGTAGCAAAGGAGCATTCGAGTTTAAGTTTTGAAGATGAACCCCGCAGATGCCCCAGGGACGGAGCTGTGGCGGCTCAAAGTAGGGTACCTACGACATGTAAAATTTATAAACTCGTGCCATTTTTTTGTTTTTCATCCAAATACAAAGATTTTTATATTTTCTGAAAGCGCTCGACGAGATCTTGAAAAAACATGCTTGGACATACTACTAATCTCTTATAATATCCGAGTTATAGGCATTTAAAAATTTAGTGATACAAAATTTACCATACCTTGGTCCGCCTTTTTTTGAATACCGGGCGTAATTTTGGACCAAATGGACTCATTTTTTTCTTGTTAGTTAGACAACAAAATAATATACAAAAAATTTCAGATCAATATCATTTACTGATCCAAAAATATACGTTTTTTAATTTAAAAATTCAAAAAATTTTAGATTTTTGGCGTTTTTTTGCCAAAAATGTGTCTTAACTCTTTTATTAATAAAATAAAATTTTCTTTAAGAACATATAACAATTTTATAGTTTTCTAAAAGGTATCTTTACGCAGAACGCTTTGGCGTAAAAAACTTGTCCTATTTTTTGAAAATGTTGCCACTGCGTCCTTCCGAATGTGACCTATTTTTTATCAAAACTTCAACTTTGGGCGACATGTTCTAAAATCCCAAAGCTGGGATCAGAAAACTGAAAGCACTTTTGGAAACCTCAATATGTTTTCTATTTACTCCAAAAGTATTTTCCCAGCCCTGAAAGAAATGTGGACCCTATGGGCAAAAAAGTAAAAATCCCATTTTTGGGATTTTCATTCCTATTTTTGGGAATTGCGGGATGCCCTTTGACCTTTTCAATTTTTTTTTTTGCATTTTCTTATTTTAAATGACAAATTTAACAAGCGTTGAAAATTTCATTGAGTTTTGTTCATAAATAAAGATTTTGTCATATATTACATATTTGTTTAATTTCTAAAACTATGATTTATATCAAAATTTTAATAGGGTCGCAGATAGCTACAACAATTTAGTCCATATTTATCCCTTAATATCTTTTTTAGTTAGATATGGAAATTCTCGACCCTTTACAAAAAATTTCAAGCCAATATCTCAATTACATTCAAAAATATGATTTATATCAAAATTTTAATAGGGTCGCAGATAGCTACAACAATTTAGTCCATATTTATCCCTTAATATCTTTTTTAGTTAGATATGGAAATTCTCGACCCTTTACAAAAAATTTCAAGCCAATATCTCAATTACATTCAAAAATATGTTAATTTAAACCTGTATCCTTTAATTTCATATTTTAGTATTAAATATGACAGAACATGTTTAAATCTTATATTTACCTATTTTCTATTTGTTTGCTTATCCTTATAGTTGAAAGGTCCTATTATGCTTAAATTTTCAGAAATTTATAACTATTTTTTACCTAAATTTTTTCGAAAGATCATTTCGTTCTGTTTCGTTTATGATCATGTAGGTAAAAATATACAGGTAATGATAATTTCGATTCATTCATTTACCATACCTTGGTCCGCCTTTTTTTGAATACCGGGCGTAATTTTGGACCAAATGGACTCAATTTTTTCTTGTTAGTTAGACAACAAAATTTCCAATAATATACAAAAAATTTCAGATCAATATCATTTACTGATCCAAAAATATACGTTTTTTAATTTAAAAATTAAAAAAATTTTAGATTTTTGGCGTTTTTTTGCCAAAAATGTGTCTTAACTCTTTTATTAATAAAATAAAATTTTCTTTAAGAACATATAACAATTTTATAGTTTTCTAAAAGGTATCTTTACGCAGAACGCTTTGGCGTAAAAAACTTGTCCTATTTTTTGAAAATGTTGCCACTGCGTCCTTCCGAATGTGACCTATTTTTTATCAAAACTTCAACTTTGGGCGACATGTTCTAAAATCCCAAAGCTGGGATCAGAAAACTGAAAGCACTTTTGGAAACCTCAATATGTTTTCTATTTACTCCAAAAGTATTTTCCCAGCCCTGAAAGAAATGTGGACCCTATGGGCAAAAAAGTAAAAATCCCATTTTTGGGATTTTCATTCCTATTTTTGGGAATTGCGGGATGCCCTTTGACCTTTTCAATTTTTTTTTTGCATTTTCTTATTTTAAATGACAAATTTAACAAGCGTTGAAAATTTCATTGAGTTTTGTTCATAAATAAAGATTTTGTCATATATTACATATTTGTTTAATTTCTAAAACTATGATTTATATCAAAATTTTAATAGGGTCGCAGATAGCTACAACAATTTAGTCCATATTTATCCCTTAATATCTTTTTTAGTTAGATATGGAAATTCTCGACCCTTTACAAAAAATTTCAAGCCAATATCTCAATTACATTCAAAAATATGATTTATATCAAAATTTTAATAGGGTCGCAGATAGCTACAACAATTTAGTCCATATTTATCCCTTAATATCTTTTTTAGTTAGATATGGAAATTCTCGACCCTTTACAAAAAATTTCAAGCCAATATCTCAATTACATTCAAAAATATGTTCATTTAAACCTGTATCCTTTAATTTCATATTTTTCATATTTTAGTATTAAATATGACAGAACATGTTTAAATCTTATATTTACCTATTTTCTATTTGTTTGCTTATCCTTATAGTTGAAAGGTCTTATTATGCTTAAATTTTCAGAAATTTATAACTATTTTTTACCTAAATTTTTTCGAAAGATCATTTCGTTCTGTTTCGTTTATGATCATGTAGGTAAAAATATACAGGTAATGATAATTTCGATTCATTCACTAATAAGAAATATCAATGACTGAATTACAGGTTATAGTAATATAGTCCTAAATGTTAATAGGTAGACAATTCGTAATTTTTTACTTTGGAATACCTGTATCGGAAATGACAAGAATTGGTATATAAGTAAACTTCTCAGATTTTAAGTACCATATTTAATAAATCTACAATGAAGATTACATTAAAGTACGAAGAGTTGTGTTCCGTTTTATGGAGTGTATCTTCAAAAGGGCCAGAAAGAATTGAAGACATTTCAAATTATATAAAAACTACATATAGTAGAAAAGTAGACAAAACAGGCATATCAAAAATTGAAAACTTTTTGATGTAAAAAGTAAGTCTGTGGATGGAAATCAAAAGAAATTTCGATTAAAATTTTGTAGTTGGATGGAAACTATTACGGAAATCTCAACTTACAACACATCAATAGGAGCGCCTTGCAAGTCATACGAAGACTTATGTTCAAGGTAAAAAAAAGAGGGTCACACAAAAACTTTTTTCAATCTCAAATGAGGAAATTGCTGATACATTTAACGAAATGCTGAAAAAGGAAAACCAACATATAGATGTCGTACATATTGCCACTATTCTTCCTAATGCATCACCAAAACGACTTAAGCGAATTGTGGAAAGTATACCAACTCCAACATCATCAAATTTTACTGA